TGTGTGTACCTAAGACATTACAGCCCTGCGGGGCGGCGCAGTTGGCTCAAGTGTCGTTCTGCACACCAGAAAGTTGCAGTTTGAGTCCTGGTCAGGGCACATACGGGACGTCTCACTCTCCTGCGCCTCTCCCCCCTGCTCCCCCTTCCACTCTAAAAACAAACCAATGGAAAAAATATCCTCAGGTGAGGATTAACAACAACAAAAAAGATTTTTCCGGGTTTTATTTCATGAGTCAGATTTGGTAAGTTATTTTTTCCTAGACATTTTCCTTTTTTACATTTTTTTGTATCCGGTTCAGAGTATTTTATCATCTGTTCTTAAGCCTTTCTTTCCATTTCTAACATTGCCTTTTTCTTTTCCTGGATCCTGCCTTATCAGAAGTTTGCTACATTTTTAGTCTTTTTTTTTTTTTTTTTAAAGAATTAACTCTTGCCCGGCTGGTGTGGCTCAGCGGTTGAGCATCGACCTATGAACCAGGAGGTCACAGTTTGAGTCCCCGTTGGGGCACATGCCCACATGTGCAGGAGGCAGCCGGTCAATGACTCTCTCGTCATCGATGTTTCTCTCTCGCTTCCTCTCTGAAATCAATAAAAACTTATTTTTAAAAAATAAAAAAAGAGAATTAACTCTTGACTTTGATTTTTAAAAATTGTATACTTGCTCCCTGTTTCATGAATTTTGTTCTTTATCTTCTTTCTCCTGTCTGAGTCAACTTTATTGTTCTAACTTTTTGAGTTGGATCTTAGCTAGTGGTTTTCCGCTCTTCTGTCTTTTATTTACTTTCTTCTTAGGGTACTTATTTCTTCTCCATGACAGGTTTTTTTTCTTACATTTTTCTAAGCATTGAGATGACTTTGATGGGGCTGTTAGAGGTGCTTGGCCTCCCTGGTTGGTTCCTTTGCAGACAAGCCATGTGGTGACTCCCTGTGGTTCAGGCCTGGCGTGTGTGTGTGTGTGTGCGTGCGTGCGTGCGTGCGTGCGTGCGTGGCGTGCGTACAGTGGAAGCTGACAGCTCTTGTATCTTGATAATGGAGGGGAGCCCAACCAGAGGGATGAGGGGTTTTCTCTCTACTTTTCCTGCAGGGAAACCTGTGAGCAGGCAGAGTGAGCACTAAAGAGATGAGAGAGACCCTCCTGGCCAGGGAACATCTGGAAGAATGTGTGTTCTTCCCCAGATGGGAGGCATCTTAGAGAAATTTAATTTATTTAGGCCTAGGTCTAAGCTCTCAGCATTACCTTCATAGACTGAATTAAATGGACTGTTAAGGCCAAGGCGGGGATTTTGAACAAACTTGTAACTCCCGTGTATCTTGGGTAAAGTACCCTGCAGTGCCCCCCACCCTGACTCCACCCGCACATATATCCAGCCAGTGTGTGTCCGTGGGTGTGACATACACAGCACCGTGGAATGGGGCCTCCGCCTGTAGTTGTCCCTACCGCGGGGGACAGGGTTACAGGAAAAGCTCAGGCCCTGAGGCCACAGACTCAATACATTTTCAGCCCTGAAGGCCCTCTAATAGATTAAATGTAAAAGTAACTGTGTTTTCTGTGTGCCCAACACTTTATAGAGCCCTGTCTCAATCCTTGGCTCATTTCTTCTTTCCTGCCTGCCCTGTGGTCAGTGGTTGGGGAAGGGGGTGGGGAGGTGTCCCAGTCCCAGCCCACAGATAAGGAGGTGGAGGCACTGAGAGATTTGGCATCTGTCCTCCAGTAGATGGTGGTGGCTGATGGACCTGGCCATTTCAAATGCATTATCTTAATGGGACTCCTGGACCCCCACCCCCACTTAGCATCCCCATTTACAAGTGAAGAACCTGAGCCTCAGGGAGGTGAAGCACTTGTTCAGGTCACACAGTTCATATCTCCACCTGGGACACTTTTCAGAGGGAAGTCCCTGAAAGGGGGTTGGACACCTGGCCCCTAAGAATCCTTTATTCTGTATGTTTTTATTTGGTGGGTGTGAAGACAGGGCCAGCAGTGTGGCCAGATGCAGGCTTTAGAAGGGATTAAATACTGCAGGCTCACCCCTCATGGGTCTAGCTAGGAAGGGTTAAAATCAACTAATTTTCAACTTCTGATGTCTCTTTGTGGCTGACCTTCTTTCTCCCTCCACATCCACTCCGCCCAGACTTGGGCACGCTCTCGCCACATGCAGAAAGTGCTTGTAACTCGCCATTTATCTTTGACATGGTGGGAGAATCACCCTGGGATCATGATGTGGACAGGGCAGGCACAGCCCCCTCACCTGCCTTTCTTCTTTCTCTTCAGAGCTGTTCGGCCCACCATCTACCCACATCCTTCCCCCACTCCTCTCATAACAGGGTCAAGACTTTTGAAACAGGGTTCCTCAGGGACAGGGCTGCTCTTGGAGGCGGGAAGGGCAGGAGGTCAGCCTTGACGGTGTTGACTGGGATGTCCTCCATCTNGGGGAGCCCAACCAGAGGGATGAGGGGTTTTCTCTCTACTTTTCCTGCAGGGAAACCTGTGAGCAGGCAGAGTGAGCACTAAAGAGATGAGAGAGACCCTCCTGGCCAGGGAACATCTGGAAGAATGTGTGTTCTTCCCCAGATGGGAGGCATCTTAGAGAAATTTAATTTATTTAGGCCTAGGTCTAAGCTCTCAGCATTACCTTCATAGACTGAATTAAATGGACTGTTAAGGCCAAGGCGGGGATTTTGAACAAACTTGTAACTCCCGTGTATCTTGGGTAAAGTACCCTGCAGTGCCCCCCACCCTGACTCCACCCGCACATATATCCAGCCAGTGTGTGTCCGTGGGTGTGACATACACAGCACCGTGGAATGGGGCCTCCGCCTGTAGTTGTCCCTACCGCGGGGGACAGGGTTACAGGAAAAGCTCAGGCCCTGAGGCCACAGACTCAATACATTTTCAGCCCTGAAGGCCCTCTAATAGATTAAATGTAAAAGTAACTGTGTTTTCTGTGTGCCCAACACTTTATAGAGCCCTGTCTCAATCCTTGGCTCATTTCTTCTTTCCTGCCTGCCCTGTGGTCAGTGGTTGGGGAAGGGGGTGGGGAGGTGTCCCAGTCCCAGCCCACAGATAAGGAGGTGGAGGCACTGAGAGATTTGGCATCTGTCCTCCAGTAGATGGTGGTGGCTGATGGACCTGGCCATTTCAAATGCATTATCTTAATGGGACTCCTGGACCCCCACCCCCACTTAGCATCCCCATTTACAAGTGAAGAACCTGAGCCTCAGGGAGGTGAAGCACTTGTTCAGGTCACACAGTTCATATCTCCACCTGGGACACTTTTCAGAGGGAAGTCCCTGAAAGGGGGTTGGACACCTGGCCCCTAAGAATCCTTTATTCTGTATGTTTTTATTTGGTGGGTGTGAAGACAGGGCCAGCAGTGTGGCCAGATGCAGGCTTTAGAAGGGATTAAATACTGCAGGCTCACCCCTCATGGGTCTAGCTAGGAAGGGTTAAAATCAACTAATTTTCAACTTCTGATGTCTCTTTGTGGCTGACCTTCTTTCTCCCTCCACATCCACTCCGCCCAGACTTGGGCACGCTCTCGCCACATGCAGAAAGTGCTTGTAACTCGCCATTTATCTTTGACATGGTGGGAGAATCACCCTGGGATCATGATGTGGACAGGGCAGGCACAGCCCCCTCACCTGCCTTTCTTCTTTCTCTTCAGAGCTGTTCGGCCCACCATCTACCCACATCCTTCCCCCACTCCTCTCATAACAGGGTCAAGACTTTTGAAACAGGGTTCCTCAGGGACAGGGCTGCTCTTGGAGGCGGGAAGGGCAGGAGGTCAGCCTTGACGGTGTTGACTGGGATGTCCTCCATCTGAAGTTTGGCACTGGGGACAAGGAATTTGGGTCCCTGCGAGGCAGAGAAAAGTTTCCCGTTTACATTTCCTCACCTCCCTCTTTCAGGTCTAGTGTCTTTTCCCCATGACCAAGGAGCTCGTAGAAATGGTTAAGTATAAGACGATTGTGTGCTGGGAATGTGGGTACTAAAACGAGCATGGACAGTTCTGAATTTCTGTACTAATGTGTCTGTGCTGGGAGTGACTCACCCCTAACCCAGGGGCGGGGGCAGGGGGGCAACTGGCAGGGGCGGAGGGAAGCGGATGTGAGCTCCAGATGTTGCATGTGCCCTTGGGTTTGGCATTGGGCGTGTTTTAGCGTGAAGGACCTCAAAGAACATTGTCAGGGCTGTGTTGACCTGCATGGCAGAGTGGTATGGAAACATGTTCCCTCAACAAAACTGTGGGCGGAGGGCTTCAGGCAGGGTTAGCCAGGAATTAGCATGTCCCAACAGGAACCCCAACCTCTAGCCTCAATCCTGGGGGCAGGGACTGGAGTAATGTGGTGGTTCCCGAGAGACTTGAACCTGAACAAGTCTCATCTCTAGGATGTAATGCTTGCACTTTATATTGTTAATTCCTTTGCCAGGTAGCCATTCAAATAACTGTGCAATTAATAGGATGCAAGAAGCTAAAAAATGGGGGACCCATTGATCCCACCACTTTAGGGCTGGAAGAACAGGCCCTGGCCTTTGTCAGCCCCACCTCAGCTCTTGTCACAGGCAACAGGGATTTTTATCTTTTCATGATTGTAGCCTTCATAGATGAGATTGTGTTTGCCTTTTAAATTCTGTTCAAAATCATGATTCCCAATGGCTACACCAGCCCTCAAAATGCTGATTTAAAAAGCTGCCAAGTCGCCCAGTGATGCTATTGGAGAGCCTAGAGCCTGTTTTCAGACGGCCAGCCCTGTGAGGCAGCTGGGAGGTTTGTGGTAATTCCATGAGCCTCAGTTCCTTACCCCTTGCCCATGGCTTTAGAACCAGCACTGGTGGGGCCTGGGAGGGCAGGCTGCCCCTCACAAGTAGGCAGAGTCCTAGGCAGTCCCCTGGGATATAGCTCACTGGTTAGTCACAAAGGGGCCACAGCTGCTGGGTCCTAACTCCTGCTAGGAACCACAAGGCCAGAACTGGGCTCCACTGGCACCAGCCACACCCCAGCCTCGGTGCTGCCTGGCACTGGGTCTGTGCTAGCCTGCCCAGTCTCCTGGGCCCTCCTTTCTTATTCTAGTGCAGCCCCAGAATTTTTTAGTTGTGTGAACTGTTTAAGGGTGTGAACTGTTGGCCCTGGGAGGGTGCAACCCCCATGTTGCAGGGAACAGGAGCACATGGCTCTCCGTGACTCCTTGGGACGTTCACCCCCACGCCCCTGAACATGGGCTAGGGTGAGCCTGTAGGTCAGGGCTCCAGGGCCACAATGCACGTATCTGTCTCTCTTCTGGGCCACAGCCACCCCACATCCTGCTGCAGCGCCGCGGAGATCATGGCTGTCCTCTTTTTCCACACCATGCGCTACAAGTCCCAGGACCCCCGGAACCAGCACAACGACCGCTTTGTGCTCTCCAAGGTAGGAGCCCAGCCTGATGCCTTTCACTGGGGCTGGGTGTCATGGGCCCTGGACCCAGGAGAAGGTGCTGGCAGGCATCTCAAAGGGGACCTGTCTGTCCTAGCATAAGTCCAGCCCTGGCCCAGGCTCCTCCACCTACCAGGCCCAGCGCTTCCTTTGATGTCCTCCTCAGTGCTGGCCCAGCTGGTAAACTTAACACAAGTTAAAGAATAAATGACTGAATTAATAGGGGACAACGGAAATGATATGCCTGGTGTGCCTGTTTGCCACGTGCAGGCCTTGGGTCCAGGTCTGGGTATAGCTTTGTGGCTTTCTGCACATGGTTTTCTGTGCTGTGCCAGCACCCCTGGGCCACGGCTTGCTCCCTCAGGGGTGGTGGTGCATTGCAGCAGGGTTTGCGATGGGGCACCCTGTCCTGCCCCTCCCACATGAGAATCACAGCCATGCCACAAACCCCTGAAATTCGTCTGTACCCAGGCCTGACTCTGGCCTCTTGTCTCTTGGGGCATCAGAGCTTAGAAGTCTGTCCAAGTCCACTCACATGCCAGAAACCAGGGATTAGGGCAGCCGGCTGCCTGCTGGAGTTTTGGCTTCTGGCGGCCTCACAGCTGTGCTCCCCCTGCACCTGTCCTGGGGCCCACTTGGCCTTGGCTAGAGAAGATGAAAGGAAGGGAAGAGGCCTTCACTTGGTTGCTCCCTTGAAATGGGTCCCTGGCCGGCAGGCATGGCCAGGCCCCAGGTTTCAGTGTACAGTGGGAATGGCTCCCCATCTGACCCCCCCTCCACCATTCATCCCTGGCAGGGTCACGCTGCTCCCATCCTGTACGCCGTCTGGGCTGAAGCTGGCTTCCTGCCGGAGGCAGAGCTGCTGAACCTGAGGAAGATCAGCTCCGACTTGGACGGGCACCCTGTCCCGGTAAGTGTACCCCACCAGTCGCTGCACAGGCCTCTGTCTCCACATCCTGTTTCCCAAGGCATGTCGGAAGGGGGCAGGGGCACCCACTGAGGAGCCAGGGGTGTTGAAAGGCGAAGAAGGGCATTGACGTGAGGAAGGAATAAAAGAAGCAAGTGTTTTGGGGGTTCGCTCCGTTCTCCCCAAGCACCAAACACCCAGCTTCCCTTCCCCACTGGGCCTTCCCGGCCATATAGACGCAGCTCGGAAGAGGTTCACGGTTGCAGTTTGGTGGTGATGCTCCAGGGATGGGACCCAGTTTGCTCCCCAGGGTGCTAATCCCTGCAGGTGTTTGGAGTTCATGGAAACTGTCACACACACCACCCATCTCGGCACCCACTAGGGCCAAGTATTCTGTTAGTTTTGTCATGAATTCTCCTGGCCACGGTGTGAGGTGGACGAAGTGGGCTCCCTTTACAGATGAGGGAACTGAGGCCCAAAGAGGTTCAGTTCCTGGCCTGAGGTCACAGTCCCTCGTGGGCAGAGCCGGTGTTTGAACCACGCCCTCAGTTATTGCTGCGTGAGAATGAGGAGTCACACTCTGGGTGGAGGCTACCCTGGGGCCTGGCCTGGCCTTCTGCAGACCCAGCCTGCGTAACTAAGCCTGGCTGGGGACGTGGGTGTCACGGCGGGCTCCCGAGGCCAGGATCCTGGGAGGCGAGCTGCTGCCTTCTCTCCCCTGTGAATAACTGTGGCCCTCTGTTATGACAGAAACAAGCTTTCACTGATGTGGCCACTGGCTCCCTGGGCCAGGGCCTTGGGGCCGCTTGCGGGATGGCCTACACCGGCAAATACTTCGACAAAGCCAGGTAATACTCCCGTTCCCCACCCACACCCTCGATCGTTTTAAGAAGGGTTCAGCCTTAACTGCTGCCACCAGGCACCTCCTCTTACCTGAATAGGAGCTGAGTAATAGTGCATGAGTGGCCTGAGGTTCGTCCTAGAACCAGAGGAGTAAATAGGCTCAAAGGAATGAAGAGACTGCCCACAGTCCCTTAATAGTGACTGGTGGGGCCAGGTTTGAGCCCAGAACCCATGCTCCTTACCACATGTTCTTTGTCCAAAGTGCTCTGGCTGATCAGTTCCTGTGTCACCCCCAGGCCTGGTTCTTGGACCCTGGAAGTCTCAGCAGGCCCACCCTCCAATGCCTGGCTAAGTTCCACAAGCCCAGGCCGAGCTGCTTGCCTTTACCTTGGGAAATGAGAAGATGGTGTATTCTGGAGGGTTCTGGGCATCCCTGAACCCCACCTATCAGCCAGGAAGAAACATTGGAGAAAGTGATGTGATCCTAGAGATTTGCTGCTTCCCCACCAGGTGGTTTGAGGCAGATTTCAGCCACAAGACTGTCTACTGTGGCCCCATTTGACCTGCAGACCAGTCTTTATTGGCTGCAGGCTTTAAGGAAAGCACTTTTGTCGGATGGTTTCTCATGCCATTACAGTTCAGGGCCTTATACTTGGTGCTCAGAGCTTTATAGGCTTTCACCTTGATAAGCCCCCTACGGGCTGAGTGGCAACTGAGTACAATTATCCCTCCCACTGATGAGGAAACTGAGATAAGATGTGGTGGAGGCTGGATTTGAACCCAGGGCATGCACGCATGCATCCCAAGTTTATATTCAGAGTCCCCAGACTGTTCTGAGGGGCCCAAGGGAAGCACAGGAGGTTCAGGAAGCCCTGTGGGTAGGAAACTTCCTAGGGGAGGGGCTGATGGAGCCTGGCCTGCAGGCAGCAGGAAGGGTCCAGCTGTGCAGCAGTGGTTTCCCCAGTGTCCTGGGGCCATAGCCAGGGTGGTCGTGGGGGTTTGGTGGTGACTGCAGACCCACCAAGGACAGGTGGCTGCAGGGTCCTTGGCTGGATGCTACACTGCAGTGAGCACCAACTGTGTGCAGGGGAAGGGGCTCCTGAGACTGCTCTTCAGGAGGTGGCTGGGACTGTGAGGTGTCCCAGACCCTCTCAGGCCAGTGTTATCTGGCAGCACAGCATTTGCTTCCAGTCCCCAGAAGTGATTCACTATGAAGAAAATCATAAACAGTGGGTTGTATGTTTAAGAGTATTTTATTTGGCACAGTACCAGAGATGTGAGTTAATTAGTCCCTACAGTTGCTTGAAGTAATTCCCTGTGAAGGGTCATTTCCTGACCCTAACATAATGGGATGAGCCAGTGTAGAAAGAAGGGGTTTAGCTGTCTTCCCAGCAGCAGGGTTGGCAAAGGCTCGGCCTGGGACTGTACCTGGGGGGGAGGGGGTGGCAGGAGTGTCAAGGGAATTATCAGGCCATGCCAGGCGCCCGGAGGTTCTGTCCTGATAGAGCAGATCTGGCCTCCAAAAATGTCTGCCTGGCCATCAACAGGGAGTATACATCAAATGACTTTTATTTATTTTTTAACTAACTTTTTTATTTGGATTATAAAATACCTACTCATTTGAAAAATACAGAAAAGCATTAAAAAGAAATGAACATTTTTCTCTATTCGTAGCCACTCCCCCGTTTAAATCTCAGTGTATCATATTTCTTCCTCATTATTGTGAGAAGAAACATACAAATTTGAATCCTATACATTCTGCTTTTTAGAAAACTCTGAGCATCGTGAACATTTTCTCACATGTAACTGTCGAGGTCTGGCTTAATGATTGCATGATGTTCTGTTATGGGTCTGCTCCAACCTGTTCAGGCAGGCCTCTGTGGTCAGGCGTTCGGGGAGGTTTTCAAACACCTGCACAAATGCTGGCCCCCTGTTTAGGGTCCGGTCCCTTATGGTGGTGACTTGGAGCCTTGGGGTGAGCCCTGATTTCTGTGGGGCTCCAGTGTCTTTCCTCAGGACCTGAGGATGCCCTCCTGACCTGAGCCTCTAGGTCCCAAACGGCCAGTCTGCCTTCCTTGGAAGTGGGTGTGGGTTGGGAAGGCAGCCAGCCTGCTTCCATGGAATTCCTTTCTGGGGAAGCTGGGTTCCCTATAGGCCTCTGACTCAGCCCTATCAGGTGGAGACTTCCATGAGCTCCCGACCCCCTGCAGGACACACCTTCAGATAAGCCACTGAGCATGGGCCCTGGGACCTTCTGCTCCTGGCCAGGTAACTGGTGGCCTGGCCTGTTGGAGGCCACAGAAGGAAAAATGGGGGACTCCTCCTTAACCCATTGGCCTGTGGAGGTGCTGAGTCATGCTGACAGTGCCATGGCTGTCCCCACCCTCTTTCCAGCTCTCCTTGGCTTGGCCCTACAACAAGGAGGCCTAGAGGCCCCAAAGGCTCAGCTGCAGCCAGCACCAGGGCCCCAGCTCCAGAACCATTTCCTGCTGCTGCAGCAGCAGGGCAGCTGTGTGCCGTCTGAGCCCATCCAGGCACCACCCTCACTCCCTGGACACTGCATGCAGCTGGACGCTGGGCAGAGGAAAGGGGTATCTCCCAAGTCCTGCTGCTTCTCCCTCTGACATGCCTTCCTAGACAGCAGGGAGTGCACAGCCTGGACTGCGCAGTCAGGCCTGTGTTTTACTCCCAACTGCATGACCTTCAGAAAAGTATCTTCACATTTAAGCTATCTTCTTGTCTGTGTTTTGGGAAAAACAATCACATTTACCTTCCCCAGAGGGTTATTCAGCACACAGCTCAGCACCTTGCTGGAGCCCCTAGGAGCCAGCCTATGATGGGGTTCTTGTTTCTATGTCTGTGGCCGCTGCCCCCTCAGCCATCCCCTCACATCTGGGTGACGTATGGGAGGGAGGTCGGAGCCCCTGAACTGGTCTCCCTGCCTCTAGCCTCACCCCCTGGCATCCCCCTTCCCCAGGTCCAGGGAAGGTTCTGTTCTTTGGGTAACATCTCAAGTTCAGTGATGTTTTTACCACATCACTCTGCCTTTGAAAAGGTCGTGGTTGCCTGTGTTGAGGGCAGGAGAAGGCCCCTGGGATGGAGAGAGCCCAGGCCTAGCTCCTCTTGTCTTGGGCAAGAACCAGCCTCAGGCCCTTGAGGAGAGTTCATCCTGTGAGGCACCTGTCACACCATGAGTCCCCTCCTGAGTTGGTACTTCCTTACCTGACGCTTCTCCCTCTAGGGTGCTAGCTTGACACACCTCCCAGCCTCCCCAGCCCAGCTTCTTTGAGCAGAAAGGTCCCCTTTCCCTCTGGCCCACCAGCGAGTTCAGGACTCCCCCAGCACTTCTGGTTCATGGGAGAGTGGAGGGAAGTGGGTTTGGCGCTGCAGTGGGCAGCTGAAGCGCCTCCTGACAGTGCGAGTCCTTGGCCTGGTGAACGTTCATTTTCCTCGTGCCCTGACCACCCCCGATTCTCTAAATCGTACTGACCAGACTGCTGCCTCTTAGAGCTTCTTTTCTTGGCAGCCAGTATTTTCTGGAGCTCCTGACTGCTTCCTTCACAGCCCTTTCCTTGCGGTGTGGACTTGGGGTGGGCATCAAGGAGCTCAGAGCACTGTTGCATGTCACGGGTTGTGGCTCCTTTACCCAGGGTGCAGGCTTAGGAGGGACAGGCCAGGAGCATGGAGGCCCGTGTGAGAGGTGCCAGCCTCATACCCACTCCTTATCTGCAGCTACCGTGTCTATTGCCTGCTGGGAGACGGGGAGCTGTCGGAAGGCTCTGTGTGGGAGGCCATGGCCTTTGCCGGCATCTACAAGCTGGACAACCTCGTTGCCATTCTTGACATCAACCGCCTGGGCCAGAGCGATCCTGCCCCACTGCAGCACCAGATGGACGTCTACCAGAAACGCTGCGAGGCCTTCGGGTACGTACGGGGCTGGCTGTGGCTGGAGCACCCGCACAGCACGGGAGCCATAGTGCTCAGGACTTTGCAAGGTGTGGGGCTGAAGCTGGAGGCTGAGTCTCCCTTTTCAGGTTTCTACTCATAATTTCAGACTTTGGGTATTCGGGCTTAAGTGGCAGCCCAGGCTACCTCATGGATTTGTGGGCTAAGGCCCAGTTTTAAGTGAGTTCCTCGGTGGTTGTGTGGCGTGATAGTTCTCGGAGACTCCACACAACATTCTCTCACACATGCCTACCTTGGTGAGTGGGGGCCCACGGTGTGAACCACACTTGCTCAGTGAGGCTGGGGAACATGCAGGGGTTTGAGCCTTGGTCTGCTGGCTGCCTCCTGTGCCCAGCTTCAGCCAACCTGTGGAAGAGAACAGGCCCCCTCTCCTGGTGAAATGGGAGAAAGGGTTTTCAGACTCCCCTGTGGGCCCTAAAAGGTGGTGTATTCAGTCAGGTGTTACAAAGCAGGGAGGGCGATCTGGGGGGGCATCAGTTAGTGGGGCTCTCACCTCAGATACAAGCCACTCTGCAGTTAGGATTCTGAGAGCCCCAGGGCCAGGGCTCAGTCCGGGCCGAGGAGACTGGAGGACTTGGGGCGTGCAGGGCTCTGGGGGCTGAAGGCCCTCTGTGGGTGCGTCAGTGACCAAGAGAGGTGGAGCTGTGGGACCGATTACACGGGAGACAACAGTTTGTTACCTGTGATGACTGACCTTGCAGAGGGAGAGAGGGAAGAGAGCAAGTATTCTCTCTGTTGGCCAGAAGAGGAAACGGCCACAAAGTGCCTCAAAGGCCTGTGTAAGGCCACACCAAGCTGGGGGCTTGGACTGTAACCCCAGCAGCTGGGTCTGTGTCTAAATTTGTGGCTCTGAAGCCAGATTCATTAAGTCCTGCCTCCCATACTAATTTGCTTTGTGACCTTGAGCAGGTTATTCCACTTCAGTGTCTCAGTTTACTTGTCTATAAAATGGAGGTGGCAGTGGCTCCTCCCACTCCCCTGGGTTGTGGTGAGACTTGCATGGGTCAATATGTGTAGGGTTTGGCCCAGTGCCTGCACGGAGTGCACTTGGCACATGTCAGCTGCTGTTTTCATTATTATTATTAATACTCCATAAAGCATCTCAAAAGGGGTTGCTCTAAAGAGAATGGTTGCCCTGCCCCAGCTTTCCCCTTGATGTTTGACAACATGGCCCAATTAAAAGAGTTCCCAGCACCACATCCAGCATCTGTATGGTAATCAGGTAAATGAAAATTGGGCCCAAAAATTCATCAAGAATCAAATAGATTCTAAACCCAGTGCATCGTCCCCAAAGCAGCTTCCAGTAGGAGATGAATAGATCAGGAACCAAAGAGGCAATAAATGGAATAAGCTTTGAATTACTTAGGAGAGAGAAGGAAACTCTGTTCAAAGCAAACAGGAGGAAGTGAAATAATGTGAAAAGAGAAAGCACAACCCAGATTGGAAACAGGAGCTTCTTAGACTCCCCGACTCCTCCAGCTCTTTCCCAGATCGCAGTTGGGCAGTGGAACAAGGTCAGGCCTTTCCCTGGGAGCCCCTCAGGATCCTCAGCACTGGGTCCTCGCCCCTCACTCCCCCCTTTGTCCCCAGCTGGCACTCCGTCATCGTGGACGGACACAGTGTGGAGGAGCTCTGCAAGGCCTTTGGCCAGGCCAAGCACCAGCCCACAGCCATCATCGCCAAGACCTTCAAGGGCCGAGGGATCACAGGTCCGTATGCACGAGCCTCCCTCCCCAGCCGTGGTGGCCTGCTCTCTGGATACGTCAGGCGATCGGCAGTGCTCACCCTGCTCTAGGCCTCCGCTTTTCCTCCTCATGGCCAAGATCCCGACCCAGTCAGGAAACTCGTTTCTCTCTCACACCCCTCTCTGTGGGCTCAGGCTGCAGGGGTGACACAGAAGAGAATGGGACAGGCGACCTGCCCAGGACGGCTCCCTCCCCATTCTGGCTGTGAACTGCCGGAGGAAGAGGTGTCTAGTCAGTGGGGACCAGGCATGTGGAGTCTGGACCCCGTGGTGCCCAGCACAGGGCTCTGTTCGACTGTGGTGATGCTGTTCCTCCCTTTACCCTGACCATCCCTCAGCGGTTAGGGCGCCAGGCCCCACGGAGTAGCTTCCCTGGCCCACGGAGTGTCCGTCTTACCTGGCCCCCTGTCCTCCTGCATTGCACCCACAGGGGTAGAAGATAAGGAGTCTTGGCATGGGAAGCCCCTCCCCCAAAACATGGCTGATCAGGTCATCCAGGAAATCCACAGCCAGATCCAGAGCAAGAAGAAGATCCTGGCGACTCCCCCACAGGAGGACGCCCCCTCAGTGGACATCACCAACATCCGCATGCCCACGCCACCCAGCTACAAAGTTGGGGACAAGGTAGAGTCTGGCCTTGCTTTCCCGGACTAGCTGGGTGGGGTGGCCGTGGTTCTCTGGCTCCCCCAGGTTGGGGCCAAGACATGTCTCTAGAGGGCTGGGAAAGGGAGGAGAGGGACTGCTTCAGGGTAATGAGGAACCCTGAAGTGTTGTTCCTGCCAGTTCCTTCATGGAAACAACCAGCACTAGAATCATTTACCTACAGAGGCTCAGAGAGGGCAGGGGGTTTCCCCACAGTCACACAGCAAGCTACCAGTAGCACTGGGATCAAAGCAACATGGCTCCTGAGTCCCCCATCCCTAGCCCATCAGGGCCTTGGCCTGAGCTCAGGACTGGCCTTTGTCTGGCCTGGCAAAGGCTAGGGAGGCCTGCCCTGCTCCCGGGCCCTCCCCTGGGTGAATCCATCTGTGTAGCTGGCGTCAGGCTTTCTGACCCCCAAACTCTCAGTGTATCCCACACAGAGTGGGGTGGGTTTACAGACACCCTTACAGGGGAGGGGAAATTGAGGATGTTAGTTCATCTTTTGCATCTCAAAATAGCCCACAGCGGGGCTGGACAAGGGACGACAGGGACTCCCAAGTTTGTTGTAGAACTTCTCCTTGGCAACCTTACAGAAGTTAACTTTCCATAGGGTTTTGTGTTCTTAGGCTTCCTTTTTCTGCCCCAATTTTTATTCTTGTTTTCCCTAAAGGTATAGCCCCCCAGAGACTGTGCAGGGTTCTAGGCCATACCTCACACCTGCCCACAGCGGTGCTCAGCCTTCCCACTTTCCTCTTCGCAGATAGCTACCCGCAAGGCCTACGGGCAGGCCCTGGCCAAGCTGGGCCACGCCAGTGACCGCATCATTGCTCTGGATGGGGACACCAAGAATTCCACCTTCTCAGATCTCTTCAGAAAGGAGCACCCAGATCGCTTCATCGAGTGCTACATTGCCGAGCAGAACATGGTGGGTGCCAGGGGCGGGCAGGGGGGCACAGGGCCAGCCACAGCCTCAGGGGAGAGCTCTGAGGGCTACAGGGGCAAGGCTAGAACCCTTCTGTTCCTTTGGGCAGCTACATTGGTTGTGCCAGGTCCCTCCCAGGTACCCAGAGAGACCCCAGAACAGCTAGGATCCAGCATTGACCCTTGACCTCAAGTAGTCACAGTTTGTGGGGAATGTCATGCCCAGGTGTAAATGTACAGGATGAGTGCAAACAGAAGAGCTGAACGGGGCTGTGGGGTACACAGGAGAGCTGCATGTGAGCCAGGCATGGTGGTGAGTGGGTTCTCTGGGGGTGAAGGGCCTTGCAGGTGGAAGGTTGGGCTGGGGCATGATGGGCCTACCAGTCAAGTCTGCTGAGCCCTTTTATGCACAAGGCTCTGGGCCCCTGACATGCACACAGTTGGGTTAGCAGCCCCTCGTCAAGAACTGAGGTGATAAAATAAGGGAGGGTGTTTTCTTTTTTTAAATATATCTTTATTAATTTCAGAGAGAGGAAAGGAGAGGGAGAGATAGAAACATCAATGATGAGAAAGTCATTGATCGAGCCCGCAACCCGGGCATGTGCCCTGACCGGGAATCGAACCCTGATCGCCTGGATCCTAGGTCAACACTCAACCGCTGAGCCACGCCTGGCCGGGTTATCCTGTGTTTTCAAAATACCCACTTCTCCAGGCCGAGGAGCCCAGCCTGGCCTGCAGGCCTTTAGGAACCCAGAACTTCCTCCCTCTGGAGGCTACTGGCTCTAATACATCCGAAGTTTTCCAACTGAACTTGAAGTTCTCTCTGTGGCTTCTAGTCTTGGCAGCTGGGGAGGCCCAGGATCTGGGGGAGGAGGGCTTGTGTCAGTAGTGCATTTCAGAGCTGTGGAGGGGGCAGCCGACCTGGAACCAATGCCCATACTCAGTGCTGCTGGGCTGGGGCCTCTAGTGGCATTCAGGGGGTGGGAGGACTGCTCTCTGCAGAGGCATTGGGGCTGGCGAGGAGATCGTCCCGGGCGGCTTGCACAGGTTAGGAAGGATGGATAATCTGTGCCCAGCTTAACTAGCTGCTCTGTTGAAAGGTTATTTTTACTTGTTGCTACGGGGGGGAAAATGTTCCCCGGGACACTAATTTTCAGAGAAATTTTCAAATGGTTATTTCAGCCCTGGCCAGTGTGGCTCAGTTGGTTGGAGTGCCTTTCCTGTGCACCCAAAGGTTGCTGGTTCAATTCCCAGTTGGGGCAACGTACCTTGGTTGTGGGTTCGATCGGTGGTGGGGGTGCATACATGAGGCAATCGATCGATGTTTCTCTCTCACATCCATGTTTCTCTCTGTTCTTCTCTCTAAAATCAATAAAAAATACCTTCGAGTGAAGATTAAAAAAGAATAGACAAGTAAAATGGTTATTTCAAGTCGAAGGAGTTTAGTGTTTAGAAACAGATTACGGAGTCTGTGGTGTGCAGGAATCACTTTGAGAGGAGAATTAACAGCCACTAGGGTGACAGAACCCCTAGCCACCTTCTCCCTCTGCCCCCAGGTGAGCATCGCTGTGGGCTGTGCCACACGCAACAGGACCGTACCCTTCTGCAGCACTTTCGCAGCCTTTTTCACACGGGCCTTCGACCAGATTCGCATGGCGGCCATCTCCGAGAGCAACATCAACCTCTGTGGCTCCCACTGTGGCGTGTCCATTGGTGAGTTGAACGGGGTCAGGATGCTTACACTGTCACTTCCCTGAATTTCTGGACCAAGCGGTAAGAGGGGGAAGCAGGTCCACGGATTGGGGTTTTACTTCAGCATGTCCTTTCCCACATCCCAGGGGAAGATGGGCCCTCTCAGATGGCCCTGGAAGATCTGGCCATGTTTCGATCAGTCCCCATGTCAACTGTCTTTTACCCAAGTGATGGGGTGTCTACAGAGAAGGCGGTGGAATTAGCAGCCAATACAAAGGTTGGTCACATGACTCTTCTCTTTTCTGCTGGCACCTGGCTTTCTTCCTTAGAGGGACAGGAGGGAGGCCAGCATGCAGGCACAGAGCTGGTCATTCACTGCCCTTCAGTGCTGTCTCCTGACCTTGCCCCTGGTGTTTGTAGCTTGTAGAAGTTAGACTAGGAAAAGCCAAGTGCACACCATCCTTCCTGCCACGTGGCAGGCATTGCCAATCAGTCACCATGCTCTTGCTCCACTGAGAATCCTGGCAGCCCTGTCAATGTGGCAGTTGATATCTATCTGGCTTTCCTGAGTTGGATTCACCAAAACATAGCGAGCAACATGGTCCTGACCAAGGGCCGTGGTGCCATAGACCAGAGTGCCCAAGGACCAGGGTGTGCTGCATGCATCCTGGGGAGCAGCCCACTTGGAGGCCACTCTGCCTGATGGGAAACTCACTTCCCGTCGGGTTTGGGCCTGGCAAGGCTGTTGGGCCACTGTCCCTCAGGAGGAGTGTTTGGAGAGGTGCACGCTACAGGGGCAAGACAGTCCTTTTCCCACCTAGAGGGGCAGCCAGCATGAGGTGACTGATAGACACCTCCATGGGTTTGAAGTGTGGAGGACGTTTGTGAATGGAAGGTGAAAGCCTTTCTAGAAAGACTTTGCTATTTGAGGTTGGATGTGCTACGTCCTGTAATCCTCTGTTATTGTTTCATTCCAGGGCATCTGCTTCATCCGGACCAGCCGCCCAGAAAACGCCATCATCTATAGCAACAACGAGGACTTCCAAATCGGACAGGCCAAGGTCAGTGTGGTTCATGTCCCGGTAACCCCTCAGAATGAGCCCGAGGCCAGGGCCCACCTCAGGCCACCAGTCCCTGAGCCTCACTGGCCCCCTGTATCACCCCCAGGTGGTCCTGAAGAGCAAGGATGACCAAGTGACTGTGATTGGAGCCGGGGTGACCCTGCATGAGGCCTTGGCTGCTGCTGACCTGCTGAAGAAAGGTGAGGAGGGTGGGACCCAAACAATCTTAGATCAGGTGCTGACTGCATACGAGGTCTTGGGGGTGAGAATTAATTTCATCCAATTAAATGATGGTGATAATAGCCACGCTTTGAGCACTTACTATGTGCCCAGCATGATGCTAAATTCTGGGGCTACAGTGGCCACAGTCCCTGCCCTATGACCCTAGTTGAGGTGCCCAGCACAGTGGTCCGATCAGAGGCCCTGGGGCCTGCCAGTAGGATTGAATCACCACCTAGCTGGGCACTAGTTAAGTTATTTAGCATCACTGTGCCTCAGTTTTCTCATCCATGAAATGGAAACACTGTCACCTTCCCCTGGGTAAATAATAACCTGGCGTTATTATCATTGCAAGCTTGAAAATGTTAGCTGCTGGTAATGTGAGAAAGGTATTAGCCTTCTCTATAATAGAATCATACTAGATGTCACATCTCAGCTGTGCTGAGCATGGAGAGGATGGGCATGGGCGTCCTTAGGGCAGTAATCTCAGATTATGTAGGACTGATAAGCAAAGAGGGGAGTGAAGAGGCCCAGGCAGAAGGAACAGGGCATGTACAGAGCTCTGAGGAGCTGGAGAAAGGCAGGGGCAGGAGCAGGATGGGCTGGAGACTTAGGGGAGCCTGGCCCCAACAGGGATGGAGATCCAGAGGGAGGGAGTGAAGGAGGCATGGCAGAGCTGGACTTGTCCTTCTGAGATCATTCTGTTGGGTCATCACTTCACCTGACACCCTCATGCCTGCCTGCAGTCACAGCTTCCTTCCCCATCACCCACAAGCACATGGCTTATCTCAAATCAGACACTTGGACTTGTCTCTCTGGCTTTCCCTCCATCTTCAGAGGCATCAGAGAACAGATGTTCCTAAAACGGCCAGGGAAGAGCCCCGGGAGGTGGGTGGGTGCAGAATGCTGGAGTACATGGGCACCACATATCGGCAGAGGATGGGGGCAAGCCACTACGGGTTGGCAAACATGAGCTCAACAGTGGGAACAAGGGGAGAGCAGGTCCTCCCTAGGACGGGCAGGCCACAGGCTAAGCTTTTAGCTGTGTGACAGCTCTCAGGACACCCCAGCCAGTCCCCCTCCCAGGGAGCTTATCAAAGGGCAAACCCACAGCATCCAGCCCATTCCCCTCAGCCACGTCCCTGCATCTTCTGTCCTCACAGAGAAGATCAACATTCGCGTGTTGGACCCTTTCACCATCAAGCCCCTGGACCGGAAACTCATTCTTGACAGTGCCCGAGCTACCAAGGGCAGGATCCTCACAGTGGAGGACCACTACTATGAAGGTAAAGGGGTCTGGGCCAGAGAGCCAGGGCTGATGGGTCAGGGGAGGGCCCAGGGGGCACAAGGCTGGACATCCCTCCTTTATCTCAACCCTAAGAGGGCAGCTGTGGCCCAAGAAATCCAGAGCTGTCCTCAGAGCAGCTGAGATTTGGCCTCTTAGGCCTCAGGCTGGGCCTGGAGACCCAGCGAACTCTCAGCTGCAGAATTGCTTCATGGAGCCCCTGCCACCCAGGAAGCCAGTGGGGATTCCAATCTTACTGCTAAGAGTAGAAAAAAACATGGCTTGTGTCCCACAGGTAGCTATTGTGCAGACTCAAACTGGGAAAGCCACAGAATTTTTGTCTCATGAGGCCTTTCCAAAGCAATCCTCCATAACCACACAGCACCTTCTCCCCACAGGAGAGGAGATGGGCCTGGACTCTGGGGTCAAGTGCAGACGCTAGTCCAGTGATGACAGCTGCCCAGAGGATATTATTAAAATGATTCAGAGCCACATTTGGGCTTATGAAAAAAAGCCCAACAGTGGTTGATTAGTGATGTCTGTTCCGGCTGCCATCATGGGAAAGGGGTGTTGTGTATGCCGTCTCTGTCAGCATTGGGTTAGGGAATAAACTCAGAGGCTAGCAGAGGGCCAGGGGACCCACCCACTGCTCACCCTGAGACCAAATCACCTGAATCACCTTTTTCCTTTGCCCAGGTGGCATAGGTGAGGCGGTATCCTCTGCAGTAGTGGGCGAGCCTGGCGTCACTGTCACCCGCCTGGCTGTCAGCCAGGTACCAAGAAGCGGGAAGCCAGCCGAACTGCTGAAGATGTTTGGCATTGACAAGGACGCCATTGTACAAGCTGTGAAGGGCCTTGTCACCAAGGCCTAGGGAGGGGGGCTCTACACATTCCTGAGAGATTTCTGGCAGAGGTGCTCAAAGATGTACTGAGAGGAGTGGTAAATATATCTTTTGAGAAAAATCAATCAGCCCCTGAAATGTTTTTTCTTTGGATGCAGCCTGTGCTGGTTCTGGGGAGGAAGGAGAGGCAGGGAGGTTGGCACCCTTGGCTCTGGGCCAGGACCTGGGTGTCCCAAGGCCTTCTGCAGTCACCTCCCCTGGCATCCGCCTCAACTGCCACAACTGCTCCTGGCTCCCAGGCACCGCCAGGTGACTCTGAACTGCAGACTGACTTCCTGCCCAGAGGCTGCAACCCAAATTCCCCCCTCACTCTCAGCCACCAGCCCCGGGGAGGCTGGGAACTGTCCAGTGTGCCTTAGCGCCACCTCCCGTCCCCCAAAGACCCACAGCCCCATAATCAGCCCTATAGTCTCCAAGGGTAGGGAAGTGCATTTGCTTACTGTCCCTGCTCCTTGCGATCCTCTTAACCAGTAATCTCAGAGAAGCAGAGGGGCACAAGGCAGCCCCCATCCTGGCAAAGGTGGCCCTCAGGTTGGCATCAGAGCTGCAGGTGGTGGGTTAACAAGAAGGTCCAGCTGCCACTGCACCACAGACCAGAAGTCCTCCATCCTGAGAGTGCAGGACTACCTCCCCTCAACTTGTTAAAATGCAGGTCCCTGGGCCTTGCTTTCAGAGCCTGGGACTCTGCATTTGACCACTGGCCCAGGAGCTTCTGATGTCACACTTAGAGAGTTGTGCAGGCCTCAGCTCCAGCCCCTACCCACTGCTGGTTCCCTCACTGCTGTGACCACAGCCTAGTTATCCCCCTGCTACCTGGGTTCAGCCAGAGTCAGCTCTGCTTGTGGCCAACTGCAGAGACCTTTGTACTACCCTCAGACAAACTAATGCCAGGGAAAGAGGGCTGGACGCCCCTGGCCATGGCGGGGGGAGGGGGTGTCCCCAGGAAGTCCTCAGAGCCCTTGGGGAAGATGAGACACAATCTGGACAGAATGAACCAGTCCAGCCCTCAAGCAGCAAGCTGCCTCCCACTCGGCTGTTGAGTGGGCCAGGCTTGGCTGTACCAGGGGCTCTGTGTCTGCATTCAACTCACCAATGCCAGAAGGAAGGGGAAGAGCGGGGATGGGGAGGAGGGCTGGGCTGGGGTGCTCGTTCACGTCTGGGCCAGGGCTTCTCAGCCTGGGAGTGACTTCAGCACTAGGCTTGGGGGTCTGCATAAGCTCCAGGGAGCCTGGGAGCACCAGGCACTGCAGGAACCCACGCGGGGAGGAAGAGGGGGATGGGCAAGCCCTCTTCTGCATGGGCCAACGGGTAGGGAGGGGGACAGTTCTCAGCCAGAGCTCTGGGTCCTAACAATTACGATGCTCCCTTGTACAGTTACGGGCTGCAAAACATTTCAGTCAGCAACGGAATGCATATATGACAGTGATCCCATGAGATTCGTGGAGCTGAAAAGTCCCTATCACCTAGTGACATAGCACAACGAATTACATGTTTGCGGTGATACTGGTGTAAACAAACCCACAGAGCTGCCAGTCGTATGAAGGTATAGCACATACAATTACAGTAGTATGTCAGTGTAGGTTTTGTAGGTGCCCTCTGTGATGTTTGCACAACAAAATCACCTAAGGATGCATTTCTCAGAAGCCGTCCTTTTGTTAAGGGCCACAGAACCATAATCTGAAACAACAGTAAACCATAGACCAGTGGGGAAATGCGCAACGGTCGGTAGGCGGCAGCCCTGGAGAGGGAGCTGGAGCGCCGCCTGGTGGTCTTCCCTGGCACTGCAGCGCCTGCGACAGCGTCCAGGAGGAGCTGAGAGGCGGCAGGAAGGGGCCACTGATTGTCAAGCCTGGGCCACAGCCAGCAGGGAACAGTGAGCAGCAGGAGTGGGAGGTGAAGGTCACATGGCCGAACACCTGCAAGCCAGTGCTTTATGTGCACACATCTCATTCAGTCCTCACAATATGATTGTCCCCATTTTACAGAGGAGCTAGAACTGAGGCTGAGGATACACCGGTTACCCCAGCACAGTAAGGGACAGAGCTGGAATTGAAAGTCAGGTCCCTATTACTCCAGAGATCCCAGCCTCTTACCCTATTGCACCTGGGGCCCTCTGTAGAAGGGGTTGTGCAGCAGGCCCCCTGAAGAAGGGCCTCGGGTCCTGCAGAACAATGGCCATGGGGAGTGTGGAGGGAGCTCAGATCCTGTAGTTCTGTCAGCAAAGTCACCCGTGGTCCCCAGAGCCTACAGGCCCTTGCAGAGAAGCAAATGGTGGGACAAGGGCATCTGAACCATGGGCACAGGCCCAGGTCTTCAGGGAGGCTAGGGTGGTCCTGCTGGGTACGTACCCTGTGCAGCTATGGCCCCCAGGACCTGGGCAGGAGAGACAGCTGTCCTCACTCCAGCCTGCCAGCCTCTCAGGCCCACACAGCTTGCTAAGGAGAACATAATGCCTGGAAGGGCAGGCTAGGAGGGAGGGGTAATATTCCCAAGGCCCCTACCCAATCATCCGCAGCCCTGGGACAGCAAGTGCGCAGGAAACAGACACTTAGGGATCCAGGTAATATGATGAGCCCCTGAAACTGCCTCCTCTTTTTTTACTAAGTAGCCTTAGTGCAGAATACACTGGCACAGAATGTTCTAAAAGACAGGTGGACCCTCGTGGGAGTTCCAGTAACCTTTCATTTCTCCCTCAGCCCCTGGCCAGGGAGGACAAGAAGCCAGGACAGAGTGCCCAAGGCTCTCCATGGCCTGACCGCTCAGCCGGGAAGGCCTGGCTAGGCCTATGCCTTAAGCATCTGAGTGGGAGGTCAGCATGGCCCACAACAGCCTCAAGACACTTTCCTGGTCCCAAAACAAGGCCCTCCCAGCCCAGCTAGCGGAGAATGGAGGCCAGAGACCACTTTTCTTCACACCATCACATAGCCATCCATGTGACATAGCAATGGAGGTGTGTGGGTGTGGGTGCCCTGGTCACTTCTCATAGTCCCCAAGCCACTCATGTGAGGCTGAGCCTGACCAGGGTCAGGAAAGGAGACAGACACGTCTAGAGGCACATTGCAAGGCTCCACAGACGAAAATGCTGTGGAGTAACCCCACCTTCACTGTTCTGTGCTCTGGGCCATTGGGGGAGTCATCTCCTCAAGCCTCAGTTTCCTCAGCTGTTAAATGGGAATAATGACAGGAGCCTTATAAAGCTGCTGTGAAAATAAGTGATGTACTAATAGTGTTAGCACAATGCTAGGGAGATTAGGGCTCGAAAGACAGTTACAATTGCCTAACAAGTCATAGGCAAGGGCACTTGGCAGGGCTGGTGGCATTCAGCACAGAGCTCTGTGTGACTACAACACTCAGGAAGCATGGGACTCAACTTGCAGCAGCTCAGGATGCTGTTTAACAGCTGTTGTTTTTTAACAGCTTTGTACATTGTAAATGTACAATGTAAGTTTAGACCCCATCAAAAACTTCATTTAGCTGATCTCAGGGACATAGGCCTCAACAATTAACTGGTCTCTCCATCACCCTCAGAGGCCCAAGTTGCTTCACTTTGCAGGAGGCAGTGTCCCATGTGGAGGAGGAATCTGCACCCGTACAGCTGGGGATGGGTGGGTGGACTCATGGACCAGAGACCCGGGCTGCAGAGTCACACAGCATGGAAACTGCAAGACGCATATTGAGACAAAGAGGAAGCATTCCCGCAATTCCCCTGAGAGACAGGGCAGGGGCCTCTCCCAGTAACTCCAGGTCCTATAGATTTCACTTCCTAAACCATCTCAAATGTGCCACCTTCTACCCTCATCCCTGTCCAGACCCCCATCACCTGTCCCTGCACAGAGCCACAAGCTGCATGGGCCATGCCCCCTCCCCCCCCAGCTCATTCTCCACACAGCAGCCCAAGGGAATCCTCAGGAACCTGACATAAGCTCTCTCCTGCTCAAACACGTTGCCTGCCCCCTGACTCACTGGATTAAGCCCAACCTCTGGTGAGGCCTCCTCCTGTTCCTCTCCCCTTCCCCCCCCTCAGCCTCACCTCGAACCTTCTCCCTCTTGCTCTCAAGGCTCCGGCCAGCTTCTCTCAGTTCCCCCACCGTCTCTCCCACTTCCTCTTCTGCCTCCTACCCCTCCCCAGCCTGGGCCGGCGCTTGAACGCTTAAAGCAGAGGAAAACACCAGCCGGCTTGGCCATGGGAAGAACAGGGAGACCGAGGAGAGGGAGAGAGCTCGGCGGTGGCGCAGGGGAGGGGACGGCTCGGGCCAGGCCTGTCGGGTGCAGCCGGCTGCGGGTAAGCCGCCTGCGTGTGGGCGCCGGCAGGGGCCTCTGGAGGAGGGCGCGGCCTACCGGGCACCGCATGCATCTAGCTTGACTAGAGAGCACGTGCAGGGGCGGTGATGGTCCCGGGCCCGGCCAAGCCTGGGAAGGCTTCCATTTTCACTTTTGCAGGAAGAGGAACCTCTCTTTTCCCTTCTCCAGCCACTAGTTCACTGACTGCTTTTCACTCCCAGGTCCTGGCACAGAAGAACCCAAAAACCAACGGCCCGAATTCACATCCCCAGGCCGGGGCTTCCCCAGGCCCGGCTGAGGAGGGGAGTGGGAGGGCTCCCGGGGCCCAGGTACAGACCCCGCCTTTCTGTGGCTCTTTACCGCCAAGACAAGACAGGCTAAAATTCTCACAAAAGGGTCTGCGAAACCAAGAGCAAAAAGAAAGGAAAGAAGCTCCAAGAGTACCTGAAGTATACAAGTAATCAGAGTTTCCGCAGGTTCCTAAGCCTCCCAGACCGAAAATATAGTCTTTCTGTTCTCAGCTGAGAAACCTGCGTGCCCGCCCGACCTCCAAGGCACTCACCCTCTCCGGCCACTTCTGCAGAAAGCTCACCTAGACATTTCGCGGCGACAGTGATCTTCCTCTGCGCTGCCCTTCACATCCCGTTACCTGCGCCCCATGCCTGCCTCCCCCTCGCTCTCCAATTTCAAACATGGTAGAGTAACAGAGAGGGGGGAGCAGACTGTTTAATGTTATAACCAGAAATTTAATGTTTTAATTAGACATTGCCCACAAACGACAAAT